ACCCCAGGTCGTGAGCACAGTTTTAGCTGCAGTACAGCGTTTTAACCACTGCGCCACGAGGCTCATTAATTTAGAAAGCAACACTAAGCATGCATTTGTTGAAAATATGTAAAATAAAAGTTAATTAGGAAACACTGATAAATGGAAATTTACTTCCACTGAAGGTAAAAATCTTAACTACTTAGTGCCAGATGCTGTTCTATCTGGAACTAAATGATTAAAATTCAGGAAACGTTTTGGCATTGTGGAGTGATGAGAGTAATTCACGAAAACCCCAGTGGAGTTGCTTGCAAAATTCTCATCGTATTCAGATTTACATGGATTAGCATTTCTCATCTAGGAAAAAAAAGCATTATTAGACAACAGTGGCACCTTCCTATCGCTGTTGGTAGCCAGTGCTAAGATAATGGCATGGCAAATCAGAGCACTGAAGATATTATGGGGTTCTATGTCAACATAATGGGATAACCTATCACATGCTAGTAATTACAGGCTATAACAGTGAAGCAGCGGGTGCGAAATACAGAGCAAAGTTACTATAAATGCATTTAATAAACAAACCAAAACTATGCAGATAGATCCATAGTGACAAATGCATCTTGAAATCACAATGAGCAACAAGGATAGTGTAGGATGGTAAAATATGATACATGAATACATTTCAACCTTATTAGTCATCTTCAGTTCTTAAAGACTCTTTACTAGATAAGCAGAGGGGGAAGAATACACCTTACTGTGAATTCAAAATCTTCTTGCAAGCAGGAGTTTGTACAGAATTATGTGGAATGATTTATTTCACAATGAAAAGGTGAATTCATGAATTTTACAATGACACTTAGTTCAAGAGCATTTGGCATATAAAATAGCTTTTACCCTTGGAATATCAAGGCCATGGCCATGGAGTTCTTTGAGAATTCCCCCTCGAAACACCAGATAGATTCACACCTCATTAAATCTGAGGAAGCTTGCTGTATCATATAACTTTAAACCATACTCTGGGGTCAACTTGGTGATCTGAAGAGCAGCAGCAGAGAAGCACTGGAAGCATCAGATAGGCAAAGTTAGAGCAGCATGCTAGGGCAAGGGGGACTTCAAGGCTGAAATCCTGATAGCACAGTAAATCACAACTAAAGTAGGCCCACAGAAACAGTGAGAATTTGGTGAGTCCACTCCCCTGTAATTTCCATTGATTCAATGGGCCTAACTGTAGTTATGACTTAATATACTAAGCAACAGGATTTCAGCTGTAGAGGAATAGTCAAAGACTGTTTAAATGAGTATACAAAGATTGTGTGTGTTTGTGTGTGCTCAAGCGTGCCCAATAAGGCATACAAATAATGAATTACATAGTATAAGAGTCTGATGGAAGGTGTACTATTTTTTTAAAAAAAGCTATTAGCAAAGAAAGTTTGGAGCTTATACAACAGAACGATGAGAATTAGTTCTACCACATTCAATGGAAAACTGGAATATAGGAACATAAAGGACTGTCTTCTACTGAGTCAGTTATGTAGTGAGTCTGGTTTAATCTAGCCTGTTTTTACTGACATAGACTCACAGCAGTCCTCCAAGGTTTCAGGCAGGATTTTTCCTAGCCCAACCTGGAGATGTCACAGATTGAACTTGGGACCTTCAAGATCTGTGTCCTACCACAGTCACTCCTGTAGCTCCTAATTGTTGTTTAGTTGTTAAGTCGTGTCCGACTCTTTGTGACCCCATGGACCAGCACACGCCAGGCCCTCCTGTCTTCCACTGCCAGCCCCTAATAGGTAGGGTTAATGATTAATGAATTCTTCTCACCAGGTCCCTGAGGTGTGAGATGTCTTCTGCTTTATCCCTCTGTGCCTCCTGCTGCTGACCACCTGGTGATAGCCTGTCTTGAATTCCAAGCTGGTCTTGACTTGCTTGCTCTGTCTGCTGATGGTTTGCTGGAATCTTGATTGGTGCTTCTGGCTCCAAGTTCTGTTTCCCCCCTAGAGTTTGGCTGCAATGGTCAATAACAGCCTTTGCCCTCTGGGTGCTTACTGCTTGTTGAGCATCACCACACTTCAGTTTCTTGGCCACTGCTAGTTCCTCAGAAGTAGGATCTGTATCAGAAAAAAAGGGAGGAGCTATAGAAACATTACTAGGAATGGGACAGAACCAGAGGAGGTAAAATGGTCATATAATTCTAATTGGGGGGGGGGGACAGGACTGAAGTTTCAAAATGTTCTTGGATTTACAGCACCCATAAATTCTAGCCATCAAAGCCAATGGAGAAGGGTGATGGAAGCTGTATTCTAAGAACCGCTGGAAGGCCACAAGGAGCCTACACTTGCTCTAAATCATTCAAAATAGAGACATGAGACATGAGGTTTTAGGAAGTAGCCAGCTGATGGAGAAGCTTTACATGGGAATAGATGGTTACACTACAATGAGAAATTATGTAGCACTAGAACCAAAATGTGTGACCACAAGCCCAGATCTTGGGAAGTTACTTTTTAAAAGTTTGTAACTTTTTATACACAAACACAAAGTATTTAATAAAATACTTAGTGCCATTAGTAAAAAGAATTACAGCTTGTTACAGTGCTTTCCTATGTGTGGAGGGGGGTTGTTCACAAAAATACCCAAATCTGAAAAAAAAATCCACTCAACGTCCTCAAAATACCTTTGAAGTCCCTTAAAAAGCAGCTAGAGAACATTCGTCTTTATACACACACAGGTAACATCATTTCCATGGTATGTTACTTTTTGTTATAGCCTCATTATGCCCTGCGACATCCACCATAACCCTTGCTGTCCTTCTGCCATCAAACCAAAACAGTTCTATTTAACTGGCCAGTGCTCAAGATTTGTTAAAGCGAGTTGTTGTGTTGCTGCTGATGTTGCTTTTAAATCTTGTGAACTGGTTTTAAAATATATTAATTATGCATTTGTTGTTATCTGATCATTTATTTCATGTTGTTTTAAAATTCGACATTCACTGTGCTTTAACAGAAACTCAAAAAATATGTTGTAAGCAACATTCCCTCTAAGCCGTGCGCCCACGGAGTACCGCATCGATGCTGTGCAACTGCAACCAGTGTTGCTCCCCATTTGGTTTCAGTCACAGCCAGAACCCCCACCCCACCCAGTGCTGATGGAAAATTAGAGGTAATGTTGGTTGTAGGCACTTTGGGTTTTGCAGCAGAGAAAGGTGGGATATAAATAAAACAAACGAAACAACAGATAAAATAAATACTTTATGACAGGCCACACTGTGAGTACATTTAGCCCAACACTGTCTGTCTTACCTGGCAGTGGCAGACTAGGTTTTTTTCACATCCCTATCAGAAAATCCTGGGGAGTGAATTTGGGGCCTTCCCCGTGCAAAGCAAAGGTAGGGGAGCTGTGTCCAGCACCCCCATCACAGCATGGGGACCATGTGGCAAGGAGCCACATGCAGGCTACAAAGGATTTCTGACTTTGCAGGTACAATCTAGCTCCTAACTTGTCTTCCTTCTTTCTTGGTGACCCATCACATTGGCCAACCTTGAGTCTTGAGCACAGGGCAGGAACATGTAAAATACACCTCAATGGGCTTTAAAATAAGTAAAAGGCAGCTTCAGGAAGGGCCATAACTGCGCCGACTCCAGTCTGCAGCTTATAAGCTGACTTCTGAAAACCCAGTTCTCTGTGTAACTGGAGGGCAAGAGACCTTCTTGGAGTTCCATCTATTTCAGGTTGTGGATAGGTCTTTCTTTCTACTTTATAGTCTTGGCATTTCTGCTTTTCCTTCAAGATTCACAGATGTCCTGGGACTGGGGGGCGGGAGGACTCTTTTATCATTTTAATCTGGGAGGAGCAGGATGGTAGCTGAATCCTTTGTGAGAAAAGGCAACTTCACACCTCTGTCAGTGTACTCTCTGCTTCTCAACATGTACAGTGGTGCCTCGCTTTACAATTGCACCGTATTACGATGAATCCGCTTTACAACGATCTTTTTGCGATGGTCTAAATGGGGGAATTTCGCTTTGCGATGATTGGTTCCCTGCTTTGGGAACCGATTCTTCACAAAATGATGATTTTTAAAGAGCTGATCAGTGGTTTCAAAATGGCCACCGGGTAATTAAAATGGCTCCCCGCTGTGTTTAGGGATGGATTCCTCACTATACAGGCAGCGAAAATGGCTGCCATATGGAGGATCTTTGCTGGACAATGAGTTTTTACCCCATTGGAACGCATTGAACGGGTTTCAATGCATTTCAATGGGGTTTTTATTTTCGCTTTATGATGTTTTCGCATAACTGCGATTTTCCTGGAACGGATTATCGCCGTTAAGCGAGGCACCACTGATGTTAGCTGCCCCAAGCACTCTTAATTTTGCCATGATTGGGCAAAAGGGGAAAACCCACTTATATTTATTAATTGTACTGCACTGCTTCTGACACAGAAGGAGGGACCAGTATGACCAGTACAACAATGAGGATAGAGTAAAAGCTTGTTCCAGCCATTCTTAGCCACATGATTATCAGCCCAAATTGCCCCCTTTTTACTTTGCTCCTGCACCACACCCCAATTTTCTTCCAGTTGCATATTAACAACTCATTTAGCAGTTACCCCCAATGTATCCTTAGGAGTTTCTGTCTCCTTGAGTAGAGGAGTCATGAGCAAAGAAAAAATGTACAGGGCCCAGTTCTTTATGCCATGTCCTGGACAGGTCTCCACAGTTCTCGTCTCAGCTTACCTCCTAATGATTTGGACTCGGGCTTCTGTTCCTCCTTGACTGTGGCCTGCTCCAGCCTAGCGTGGCTCTCTCCTTCAGAGTCAGGGGAAACGGCACCCTCCTGACCCAGGAAAGAAGATTCTTGCAGGCTGGAGAATGCGGGCTTATCTTTAGCAGGCACACGGCAAGGGGTGCTGTTGATACTGATGACCGCAGACACTCGAAGGGGCACCGAGACAGCAAAAGGCTCCGATATGTTCAAGGCTTTCCGCTGGTGCCGAGGAGAAGCTTCCAAGGGGAAGAGGGCCCCATGGAATCCTGATTTGGCCATCCCATCATTGGAAGTATAGAACATACGGCACATCTTGGGGGAGGTTTGCTCATTCTCGGGGTCTTCAACAGCCCGGAACACCTTCAGTTGTTCTGGAAGGGGCCTGATTTGAGTTGGGTGAGAATTATGATTCTCACCCCTTTCCTCTGGCCCTCCCTCTGCCCCCTTCACAGCACCCTTTGGATAACACTCTGTTTCGTGCTTGCTGAGATCAGAGGAGCTGCTTGGATTCCCCATCCTTGGTTTCATAACTGGAACAAAGAAGCCGCCGGTCATGACTGTCCGCTTGAAGTGGCTTTTGTCATCATCTCCTAAAGAAAAGAAGCAGCAGTGCTTAAGCATATTGCCAACAGTACAGTGGTGCCCAACAATTCCAAATAAGTCCAGAGATAAGGGGATATGAGTCCTCGCAGTGTTTTTTCAAGAGCTAAGAGTCGGAAATCAAACCTTCCTTTCTGAAGATTCTCCCAACTTCATACTGACTCTGTATTTGGAAATCTGGGCCAAAACAGACATTACATGTAACCTGCCACCGGAAGAGAGTGTTTTTAATACTCTATAAATACTCAACTATCCCATAAAACTGCACCAGAGCACAGACAGAGTTTTGACGCCTGTCCTCTGAAGATGCCAGCCACAGAAACTGGCAAAACATTAGGAAGAACAACCTTCAGAACATGGCCATACAGCCTGAAAAACCTACAATCATGGGATAATTCTCTGACTTGTGATTTTTCAAATGCAGAATCTGCCTTAGTCACACCTCTCCAACACTTTCAGCACTAACCATGAGCTATCTATAACATGTGTTTCCATTCTGAGTTTAATTCTTCAGTAATAATTCTTGAATAATGAACCCAATCAGTTACTCTTATTCCTGGGATTACAATGTTGTTTCCCAGTGTAAATTGTTTTGCTTTAAATCATTTTTTATGTTTGGCACATATATTTTAGGTGTCTAGAATATGTTTTAAGCTGTTCTACATGATTTGAAATTCCAGCTGTCGTACCTATTCTGAGACGCCATGAAATAAAATAAAATGTCAAAAGCAATATTATTTATATTATATGTATGTCTATGTAGAGTATACATGTGTGTGTATATACTGTGTATATATGTGTGTGTGTGCATGTGTAGATAGATAGATAGATAGATAGATAGATAGATAGATAGATAGATAGATAGATAGATAGATAGATAGATAGATAGATAGATAGGCAGACTGTATAGACACATACATGTATAAGTGGAGACCTCTGTGTACATAAATGTATTTGTTCGTTGATACTAAATTTTCAGCAGATCATCACCTGCATTTATTGCTGGGGCTCACAGTGTGATGCTCACAACCTCAATAAAACTCACAGAGATATTTTATGGCAGGAGCTTCTTTGCTTTTCCCACCAGCTTTCCCCGCTCAGCTCCTGAAACAGGGTGGGAGCAATCTCTGCTTTGGAAAATACATAAATGTAAGAGACAAAGTGCTTCTTTACACTCCCTCTTTCATCTCTATGTACTCTCCAAGGCTGAAATCATCACCAAAGCCATTACTGGGCTTGCCTGGAAAAGTGCACTGAAATGAGAAAGGCAACGAGAAATAACCACTGGATACCATTGGCTGGCCTTCCAACCGTCTGATTCTGTCAACAAAAATATATTTTCAGACACACAAAAAAGCATGCAAAACTTTGGGGACAAATAAATAACTGTACTAAAACAAGTAAGACATAAATGTATAACTAAAAAACCTACGCAGGCAAATGCCCGCACCGTCCTTGCTAACATATCATACGAATGGCACACACTGGCCAAAATCTCACCTTCTACTGGAAGCGAACACAGTGAGTCCATGCTTTTAGCTGGCCTGATGGTTGCTTTTTCTGTTGAGAGAAAGGTTGTAATGCACTCAGTTTAACGTTCTGCAGTCTGAGTATTAAAATGTAACTGCAAAACACAGGGCATGCATTCATATGAGAAACAGCTATTCAAATGAAGCAGCATTACTGTTATTTTCCACAGTCTCACCTGTGCTTTGAAGCTAAGAATGCCCAGCCTAGGCAGGGGCAAACCTGTCTCAATCATTTGTGCAGATACAGTTTCCCACCTTATTCAAAACGGCTCTCAGATATTCAGTCCACATAGTCCTCCACCCATGAGATATCATTTTTTATTGGAGTCTTCTGATCCATTAATACATAAACAAGTGTTAAATTGACATTTTCAGTTTGGTGAGCTAAGTCAAATTCTATGCTGTAGTTCTGAAGGGGACACAAGAAAAACCTTAAGAACCTCTTAGAAAAGACCCCTTAGAACAAAGGAGCCCTTAGAATGAAGCTGTAACAGTCAGAGGGTATCAAACAGCATTAACTGTTTCAAACACTCTTCGCTGTGTCTCTTTTCTTTTTATCGCAAAGGGAATTGTAGGCGAACTAGCACTAGTTTTATGTGATGCTGATTTTCTCATTAGCACTCTAATCAGGAACATAAATCCTGACAAGATGGAAACTGCGCCCATTCCCAGGACGCCCGGGGACCTTTCCTTGATAAAGGGACTGCTAGACATATTCTTAGTCACAGAGCTCTGGCAGCATGTTTGACCTCTGTACGTGCTTGCATCTCGCTAACCCAAGAGATCCATATTCTCCCCAGGAATATAATGGAAAGTATTCACAGCAGGCAGCTTGTTATGCTTCTGGCTCTGACTGCTTTTCATTGTCCTCCTGGTGATGCACCACATGATGCAAGAGGTTAACTATGTGATCTCCCCTTGCGTTGGTCATAGTCAAAAGTTGTTTCTTTTAAAATGGGCTTTCTGAATCGTGTAACTTCATGAACATGAATGGTCTTTTGCAACATGCTGGGACATTTCTGGACTACCCAAGGAAGAAGTGACAAGGCAAAAAAATAATAATAATAAACCTCATCCATGAAAACTGCTCTCAGATGTCCCTTACCAGACAGCTTCTGCCCTCCTCGTACAAATACACTCCCATTGCGGCTTAGTTTAGTCTTTGCTTCTGAGCCAGAACGGCCCAGGTTGAAGATGGACTTCCATTTCTTGGATTTTGTGGATAACTTTCTCCTGGAAAGAGAAAATGGTTACGAAGTTGATAATAGCAAGCAGCACTTAACTGAATGGAATGGGGGAGTTTATACAAACTCATTTTTTTCTTATCTGCTCCTAATTTCAGATAATAGATTAATAATATAAGTCCTACCATTTGCAAGTGGCAGAGGCAGAAACAGAGAGACATGTTCCAAAAGGATAGTGCCAATGCCATTAAGCGGTGCAAAGGAGGCCACAACTAGGTTTGCTGGGCCAATGACATCTCATTCCTTGCAATTTCAAAGACAGAATCTGAAATCAGGGCATGGATTCTTCTGTTGTCAAAAGGAAGGGCACTTGAGAAGTCACAGGGGCAAGGCAGACAACAGTTGGGAGGGAAGCGCACCCAACACCCGACATACAAGCAACCACCTTTGTGTTGAGACACAGATCCGGGACAGCACACAAGAAAAAAAAGCCCACAGTATTTTTTTCTCTCCTCTAGGACTGCTTGCTTTGAGATTTATAAATCTTCCTGGAGACCTGGAGAAATGTCAGCCAGCACTCTGAGACCTGACAGTGCTGGTCAGGACTCCCAATGACCCCATTATTTCAAATTGAATCATCTGGCCTTTTCTGTTACAGAAGTGTCATACTATCATAGGCCATACACATAAGCGCATGATTCGGCATACAATAACAAATACAGGGTGTGATCACACAGGCATAAAGCTCACATTTTGGAGGAGCTATTTTCTGGCAATCATACAACGTACAGGAACTATATACCAGTCCAATCCCAATCCATACCCAAGCTGGACCTGTTTGTTCCAGTAGTACTTGTGGAGGCTGGGCAGGAGCAACTCCCAATGGACAGAAGGGTTACGTGAGATCTTTCCAGCGTGATCGAATATGTACCTTTCTCAGCCGTCTCACTGCAGTCGCCACACACACATTGTCTTGGTTTCAGATTTCAGCTTTTTTAAAACACTGAGTTGGCGCCACTTACTAAAGATGATTTGCTGCACTACACCCCATCCTGTTCAAAGTTTTCCCCACCCTCTGTGTAGCATTTTAAGGAGGCTGGAAAGACTCATCAGTCCAACTGTAGGTATCTACATCTGGGAGAGAGGCAGGGTAGATAATGTCAGTGGCTAGATAGATAAGCAATCTGACTTGGTAGAAGGCTTATTTTTCTCCTCCAATAATGCCTCTCTAATATATACATAATTTAGGAAGTGCTGAAAGCTGCCCAGTAAATTCATAGATAAAACAACATAAATAATTGGCTACTTGTATTGTTTTTCCCAGTCTCAGAGTCATAACTATAGTGCATTATGAGTGTCAATTAACATTAGATAACCTCAATCCTTTTGTGGTTCAATTATTTTTACAGTTATGAGGATGCAGTCTCACAAATTGGTAGAGGAAGACCACATGGATCAAGGGCTCGCACATGCTGTGACTGACAATACAATTTAATAGATTGGAGGATAATGCGTTTTTCTACATCAGACCAGCAGTTTTTCCCTTTAGCTGCAGCTAAAGAGGTAAGAGCCGAAAAAGTAATTTTGGGGGGTACTTCTGAGAAATTGGAAAGAGTTACTTTTAGAAAATTGTAACACTGAAGGGTAAGCAACTAATTTGGTCAGAATCCTATTGGCACTGTTGCACAGTTATTACAACATGCTGTGATTAAGAGTGGCTAACTGTGTACCTTAAACAAATGCCTGATCACACACCCAATTGTGCAACCCACATAAACTCCTGCACCTTGTCAATTAACCTGAAATTACCTGTGGCAGGTTCCACAAACATGCTAACATCAGTCGGATTCTGGCCATTACAAGTTCGGATTTGGGCTCAGACATCTCAGTTCTCTGTTCAACAATAACAGTTCTCTGGATTTGTGGATTTAATTCTACAGTTTTATGAAGATGTTGCAATGCACAGGCTAATAACTCATGAAGTTACTCGCATCTCACTGACTGCCACAGACAGACGGCAATTTAAATATCTAGAAAGCAGGATTGATAATGCCCTTGAGCCTGGATGACATAAAGCTGCCATTATCACTTCTGTCCTCTTGTTGCAGGCTCTGTCTTGTGCACCCAGAATGAAAATCAGGCCTCTCAACCATTCTTCAGTATACGTCAAGAATGACTGTGAGGCATGAAGTCAGAGACATGGCCCTTGAAGGTGCAGTTGGGGGCAGTTCACCAGCAGGTGGCTCTCTTACAACAGATTCTCAAAAACATCATAGTGAAGGTTTAGCATTCAGCTCACATTGACCCAAAAACATCTTAAACGAAGCACAAAAGCAAAAGCCGGAACAAGACTTACCTCCACCTGTTTGCCTGAAAAGTAAAAGACCTGACATGACGGAGGGGCCAAAGTTCAGTAGTAGTACATGCCTTGTATGTGAAAGGTCCAAAATAGTTGCTTCCACCTATTTGGAGCAACTGGGATAGAGAAAATCCTTGACGTATTGCTTCCAGACACAAGAAGCAATATTTGGCTAGAGGTTTCCACGATGCCCACCTCTCACATACTTGGTCTGTTGTTTGCCACCAAGCCCAAACCAATTTATGACAACCCAAATAGGAATTTCAAGGTAAGTGAGATATTTAAGGAATAGTTTTACCAGTTTCACCCTGACAGTGAGAAGCTATACTCAACAGGGATTTGAACCCAGGTCTTCAGATTCCGTCCACCACTCTATCCATAATATCACCCTCATACTCACAGACATGGAAGAAATTATTCAGACACTGAAAATGTTGAACATTTGTGGAATTTCTGTCACCAGTATTGAAGAGTACATGTGTTGAGAGCTGTAGAAAGTTGCTTTTTTGGTTTGTAACTTCCAGAACCTTAAATCCATCATGAATACAGGCCTTGGGGCCAGAAGCTACTTGAGAAATTAGCCATATATCTGTGAAGATTCTCAGTCATCCAGGTGAGGTTATCTGGAAGTTGAGTCATGGCAACTGGACTTCTTTCTTATTAGGTTGAAACGTTTCGTTACTCATCCAAGTAGCTTCTTCAGTCTGAGGAGAGCTGGTAGGAGATCCCTAATATAGCCTCCAAGTTGAATAGGTTCCTTAGAAGGACAAAGGACTGGGGATGAGAGATAATCCTACTTCTGCAGTCTTTCTCCATTCATTGTCATGGTCGTTAATGGTCGTTAACAGTGGTCCTTCTGTTGAGTGTGGTCCTAATCCTTCTGGGTATGATGAAATGGCAGCATGATAAATAGGAAATTAGCTTTTCCAGGTTCTTCATGTATTTTATGATGGTGTAGGTAGGGGATGAGAAAGTGATTGACTTTCTTGGGAGGGAGTATTGGTGCTGCCTTCTTCCTTGTAAGAGGCACTTTGGCCTCTCTTCTTTAAGACACCATGTCAGACTTTTACCAACAGAAGAAGCAGGCAGTGGGGGGTGGGGGGTTCTAAGCAGTCTGAGGCAGTCACCTCAGGCAGCAGATCTGGGGTATCAAAAAAGGGCAGCAAACTGTTATTAATTTAATCCATTATGATCACTTCCTTGCTGCCATAAAGCAAAAGAGGTGCTTGTGAGATTTTCTCCATCAGGGTAGATTTGATAGAATCGGATGCCATTTGCTGCTCTGTCTCAGGTACCAAAATTACTTCAGAAGGTGCAGAGAATGGGCAGCGGTGGTATTCTTCTCACAGATGTTGTTGGCTAGGACAGCATTGCAATGAGCCACACTGCCCCTGCACTGAAGCAACACAAGAGGAGTCCTAGAGAAATAATGGACTAGCTGACCCTATGCCCACCTCAGGGTTGTGTTTTATTCTTATTATATATTGAGAGGTGAGGGAACTTACTTGCTGTCAGGGAGGTCAAGGACGGTATGATAGAAGGAACCAGTGGCTGGGACAATTTCTGGCAAACTATTCTCCCGCCGTTCCTTGCGGGCAGGGTGGCAAGCTGAGAGGCTACGCGCCTGAGCTTCTTCCAGGCTCACCAGCTTCATTGGCAGAGAGACAGATGGTGGCAGTGTCAGGCTCTTCATTATGGGTTTGTTCTCTGGAAAGGAGAAAGGAATCCATATCAGAGCTTGAAAATATTAACATTTGGACCACAACTCCCAGAATCCCCAGCCAATATTCTGGAGAGAGAATTCTAGGAGATGCAGTCTATAAAAGTAAACTTTTCAAGAGGGCTGTGCCATTCTCTCCCCCACTCCTTTTTGACACCTACTCCCAGATTTCTTCAACAATTCACCAGGCAAAATTCTAGACGTTCTGACCCACAAACACGGACCTGCATACACCTTCATTTCACTCACCTGGACAAAGCTGAGGCCTAATTCTAAGACAAGTCTTCACTTCCTGCATCAAAACATCCTGGGAGGTTGCTACAGCAATACTTCCTGAGAGTGGTGGTTCTCCAGGAGGCACCCTTTATAGAGCATAAAGGGTAAGGAGACTACCACCTGCAGGAAACATTGTGGCAGCTTCATTTTAGGAAGTATTGCAGCAAGAAATGAAGCTTAGAAGGAGGCCTAGAAGACTTTTGCCTTGTCCAGGTGAGTGAAATCAGAGTATCTACTGGTATGTGTTTGTGGGCCAGAAGTCTGCCTAAGAAATTTTTGGAGAATTCTGAAAGGTGGAGTCCAAAAAGTACAAATGCCACCTCCACTTCCACATTTTTCAAGGGAAATTAAAGCATCGGGCCTTGTTTGCAGGGGTAAGGTGTGGGAATGGGGTAGTGAGAAAGGAAAAAAAAAACTCTCCATAGGTTTCTTAAGCATTCCTTTTATGACTAAACACTTTCACTGAAACCAGAGTTTGGAAATGTGCTTGTTGGTTGAATTCTTTTCTTCCCCAGCCATTTGATCCTCTGTGTTTGCCTCCCCACCACCACCACCCCCCCCAGAAAGTTCCTGGTTCACAGCCAGACTCCAAGCTGCTACGGCATGCATCTTCTAATGCGGAGGCCTGAGAATTCCTGCCGTACTGAACTCTGGGGAAGGCTCAGCTCTGATTTGAGATGAATCAACATTCTCCTCCCCTGCCATCTATTTCAAGGAATGGGTTCTGAAAACTGCAGTCCCTTTTATTTATCAATGGCTACTATTGTTAGCAGGAAATGTCCCAGTGCCAGCTCTAAAATGCAGGAAAAAAAGTTATCATGGTTAAACAGGACTCTTCTAGTTTCAGTGCTGGCTCTTCAGTATTTGCTTCTCAGAAACAATAGTAGCCATTGACAAATAACAGTGATGGTGAAGCAATTTTTCCCCTAAATTCCCTACAACTTTTCCTTTGCAGCATTTGAGAGTAACACTGATTTCTGTTATAGCAACTGCTCCTGGATCAGCCTAAAGCAGATATAATGCATAAAGCAACACTGCTTACATACTACAATGGTAAAGCATGGGGACGATCGGACAGAGCCACTGTCAGGTGGATCTTGAAGACAATGCTTCCGGCATCTGTCAAACCCTTGAGCAAAAATGTAAATAAGACTTGCTATTTTTTGTTGTTGCTGTTGTTCTTATAAAACTTTGGCTGTGTTAACATGACACCTTGCGGAGGATTTTTTAAGCTGTGTAAGATTTCTCATGTATAGCACAATAATGAAATTAGTGCTTTTGGAGGCAGGGGTGAATTTTTCTGAAATTTGCACACATTTCTCTGTAAAACTACATTGCACATTTCTCTGTGTAAAATTAGTCTTGTCCTCTCTGAACTAAACACAATAAGCATGGGACTAGTTAATAAGGTCTGGACTTCTCTGAGAGGTTGTTTGTGAAATATTTTGTTGTGGATGTCCTCTCACCATCTGAAACTGAATATGGACAAGACTGAAGTTCTTGTCTTTTACCCAGATCGTCCTACTCGCCCTTTGGCTGCTTCCTCTATTTCTCTCCAGAGTTGCTCAGTGACCCCTGTTTCAGACTCTAGGGATCTTAGTGTTTTAGTGGATGATCAGCTGTCGCTTCATTCATTTGTGAATGTGACAGCCAAGACATATAATTTCCATTTGGCTAATATTAACCGAATTCATCGCCTCCTGACTCTTGAGATTACGAAATTTCTTGTTCGTGCCCTGGTGGTTTCACGTTTGGACTATTGTAATAGCTTGTTCTGCATCTTCCGACGAAGTGCAGAAGATGAGAGACCAGCTAACAAGCTATTGTTGTTGTTTAGTCGTGTCCGACTCTTCGTGACCCCATGGACCAGAGCACGCCAGGCCCTCCTGTCTTCCACTGCCTCCCAGAGGTGGGCCAAATTCATGTTGGTGTCATTGTTGCTCTCATTTTCTGCACTTCGTCCTCTCACCTTGGTGCAGAATAGCATGGTACGAGTAGTTCTAAATCTGCCACGCTACTCTCACATTTCCGAGCACCGCAGGGCATTGCACTGGCTGCCCATCAGATCAAGAACATATAACTCACATTTCCCAGCACCGCAGGGCATTGCGCTGGCTGCCCATCAGATCAAGAACATATAGGTTTCTTGTTCTGACATTTAAAGCATTACATTTTTCTTGCCTAGCTATTTAGCAGAACTGGTGGGGTGGCGTACTCCTTGTAGGAGGACTCGATCTGTGGATTCTAGTCCCTTGGACCAAAGTGGCTAACTCCAGACTTAGAGCATTTTCTCATCTCTCCCCCAAATTATGCAATTCCCTTCCGCAATACCTTTGCATGGAACCAGAGTTGGACAAATTCAAATGAGACCTAAAAACTTACTTGTTCAACCTAGAACCATAGGGCCTTATCATGGAAACAGGCAATTATTGGGATAGAATTACTGTATTTCAATCATTATATTGTTATTATAGTCATTTTGATTGTTGTCTTATTGAATGATAATTGCTCACTGTATGTTTTTATCATTGCAATTATGTTATGTTATGGTTGTATTTTAATTGTTTTTCACTATTGGAATAGAGCATCATCATCATCATCATCATCATCATCATCACAACAAAAACCACAAACAATATATCCAGTGCTTCTCATTTTTCTTCTGTGGTCTATACAAAATGGTAGCAGTTACTCTCATTTTGTGCAATTTGTGCTAATATTATTCACCCAAATGCAAAAACACCTTAGAAGTTGAGTCCAAGAGAAAGACTCTTGTCCTTTCCCAGCTGAGGGGGAAGAAAATTTATGATGAGGATTTATATTCCTACTCTTGACTCAGCAACTCTTCTTGGCTCAACTTGCATACCAAAGATTCATGGTCCAGAATTGCTATCTCAGTATCGATCAGGCTTGTGATAAGGGCAATGTTCTGACATCTGCAAGGCATTATGCACTAAGCCAAACAAACCTTCCTCGATGGCCAGTTTTCCCTCCTTAGTTTCCCTCCTTCCCAACCCTCTTTATTCCCCAACGTATTAAGTTCTAAGGGCAAGCAGAATCCAGCAACAGAGGGAAAGATGGCATGTTTTTGAGCATGTACAGAGCCCCTCGTTGCCAACAAGGACTATGGCAGCAATAGAGTTTAAATTGTTTACTGCTAGTGATTGAAGAGCTCCAATGGTCCAGGCCTTCCAAGGTCTAGAAGGACTCCTGCACATATCCTGAATTTGGCGTGTGAAAGAAAACTTAAACCGAGTCCATTAGATAGAGGACTTACAGCTATGCTATACATAATACTACTAGGAGTGGATAAATCTGCTTTACTTGTCCAACTTTTACATCTTTTTCGGGCACTTCATTCCATCCCATTGCCACATCAATTTGCACATTTTTCTAAAGTTTGCCAGAAATATTAGAAGCAGCTTTGTTAATCAGTTCTCCCCTATAAATATATTTTGCAAGCATATGCTCCATGCTATATTTTCATGCAGTTTTCTTCTAACACATCCCTTTTAAAGCAGTTTTCCCTATCCTATGCATGTGCATCTGCACTTTCTTCATTAAAGAATTATATTGCAAAACCTGGAAAAGAGCAAAAACAGAATGCTACTTGTTCTCTGTTTTGACATTGTTTTAGTCTATGATTCCAAAAAGTGAAAATTAAAATTGTAGAATGGTGAAGCTGGAAGGGGCCTATAAGGCCCTTAAGTCCAACCCCCTTATCCATGCAAGAATTCAAATCAAAGGATATCTGCCAGGTAGTTGTTGACGTTTATCTTGAATGCCTTGTGTTGGATCATTTACCACCTCTTGAGGTAATTAGTTCCACGGTCATGCTGCTTTAACAGTTAGGAAGTTTTTCCTGCTATTCAATCAAAATCTGATTTCCTTTAATTTCAGCCCATTGTTGCATGTCCTGCACTCTGGGATGACAGAGAACAGATTCTGCCCCTCCTCTGTATGACATCCTTTCAAGTATTTGAAAAGTGTTATCATATCACCCTCTGTCTTCTTTTCTCAAGGCTAAACACGCCCAATTCTTTTGTTCTTTCCTCACAGGGCCGGGTTTCCAGCCCCCTGATCATCCTTGTCACCCTCCTCTGAAGTTGTTCCAATTTGTCAGCATCCTTCTTGAAGTGTTGTGTCCCGAACTGGACAAATTACTCAAGGTGAGGCCTGATCAGTGCTGAATACAGGAGGACTAGCACCTTGCACTATTTGGAAACTATACTTCTGTTATTGCAGTCTAAAATAGCATTTGCCTTTTTTGGTAGCCACATCACACTGTTGGCTCATATTCAGCTTGTAATCTATGATATTTATATTAAAACGTGAATTGTATGAATTTCACTTTATCCTTACTATTCATTATATTTAAAAAGTATCCTTATGGGAACTTCATTTTTAAACATACTAGCCAGAATCCTATTGGTGGCTGTGTAAAGTTTATGGAACATCCTGTGGTTGATTGAGGCTAATTAATGAGGTGCTGGGATGCATCTGGCATGTGAGCACACATACAACAAAGAAGGCTATCATCAAGCAGTCACAAATAATTGTGGTAATTTACACAAACTATATGGGAGAAATAATGGGATTCTGGCCACTAACATAGTCTATGCCAATTGCCTTCTTCCACATTTTTCTCAGAGAAAATAGGAATTCAGGCAAGCTGAATGAGCACTCTTGAGCAGTGAACTACTTAAAAGCCATGCAGAAATTCCCTTTGAGAAGAACTAGCCTAGTGGTCACATGCCTTCTGGTAGGTTTGGAAAGGTTCACCACCCTTAACCTGAAAGAAATACTTCAGAAAGACTCACCCTCAGTATCCTTTGGCCTGGCATCAGTGTTATCACTAAAGAGTTCATCCACATGGTTCAATATAAACTCAATCACCAACTGCTGGACTCGCACCTCCAGGAAAGCAGCATCTCCATTGCAACCTACAGCTTCAATGTCCTTTGACCTGTACCACAGGAAGGAAAACATTTGGAGGAGCAGTGAAGTAGAACATAATCAAGGCAATGCTGGTGAGGCAAGAAAGCGAGCTGCATACCCCCGTACACCATGCATGCAGCTCTTTTACAGAAGCATTGCCACCTGGAAGCAACTAGTTAGAAATAATTTGCTAGTTACTTATAATTGATTTGTTCTTTCAATAACTATGTAGATTACCTTCCACTTGTAACATAATAATTAATAAATTCCCTCCTGTAATATTCAGTTACTTTG